TACACTTATAATCTCTCTTTTCTCAACAAAAATTTATTTTTAGTAATATATTTATAATTAATATTACTGCACAAGATTCATTAAAAATATAATCTACCTTTTTTTTAAATTATTTTGTATTCAAGAAACAAGAGACATTTTATTAAGAGACAGGTTATTGAAATTTAAACAATATAACACATGTATAACAGTATAAAATAAGTGCAATATTTTTATAGGATATTATACAGTCACTACTGTGCTAATTGATTCCATATATCGTAAGCAAGCATATATTCTGTGTGTAGGTGAGAATACTATATAGCTGCCAAAAAAGTAGCCAAAAAATCTATATCAGTTTGATACCTAACTTTTAATAAATTAAGTTTTCAATATATAGCAAATGATAGTATTTCATTTGTAGTTGTTTCAGTGTCCATTCAAATCTTGTAAAAATTATCTGAAAATGCCCTGATCTTCCTGGTATTTTTATTCAAACTTTCAGATAAAATTAGAGAACTTTTAGATACAATCTTTTAAATTAAGATTCTTTATTGTGTACACTTTTTAATGTTCTCTATTCATATGAGCAAGAAATAAAATTACAAAGTCATTTAACTTTCAAATATTAGATTCAAACAATTCTGAAAAAAAGTGAATAACCTTTACAATATAAGCATTTTTAATTTGAATAACATTTTCATTTGTTTATCATAAAAATTACGATGAAGATTGTATACTGCATATTCAATATTTACTTACACTTGCAAACAACTGAACAATAGATACTATCATTTTCTGTATTAAAAAATTTAATCAAAGATGGAAAGTGCCAAGTTTATATAGATATCAGAGAAAAAAATTAAGACATTTTGAAATTATTTAAAGCTTTGTGAGCTTAATACATATATACATACATATACACATATATACATATGTTCATATATGTAATAAGTAGGACATCACTTTTAGAAAACTTTATTAATGCTTACCCAAGATTGGGTTGATTGGAGTGAACAGTTGCTCGTACAAGAGGAGGTGGTGGTTGGGCTTGAGCAACTTGGGCTTGCATAGTTGTAGTCGGATATACCCCAGCATATTGAGCTGCTGTTCCACTATTGCCCGTTCTACTTCTCGACTGTTGGGGATAGTTTTTGGAGGCAGCAGTCATTTGCTGAAAATTAAAAACTGTACGTTTTATGTGAAATTGAACACGAAAGTACAAGTAGAGATGTTGTGTAAATAACATTGACATTTATAAAATAGGCATCGCTATTATATAGTACAATAATATAAATGTGACATAAATAACATTGGGATTTATAAAATAGGCATCGCTATTATATAGTAACATATAGTATTTCAACACTTAGGAGATTAGCTTACATTGTGCATATTCAAAGTTGCACGTATAAGGGAACTAGCTGGGGAATTGAGTGCCGGTTGAAAGGTGGGTTGGCCGCCGACGAGACCTGACCAGCCGTTAACTACACCTTGTACGTTATTCAACATAGGTTGCGATACTATGTTTGATCTACTGGCGGGAAGTCCCGATGGAGAAGAATGCGCGGGATGTGTTGTCACTACGGACCTAGTCTGTCCTAGTCGCGCCATCTGCGGCGCCGTACTCACGACAGTTCCCCGCGGCATTATATTAGGCATCGGTGTGGCACGCGCGTTTAAAGGTGGTACTATTTTATTCGCGTTTTGCACAGAAGTAGGTTTAGTCGCCGGCGGTGTGGGCGGTTGTTTCGTCCATCCTCCGCCGCTACCATTGCCATTGCTGTTCACCAATAACTGCGAGTCCATTACTTTGGTCGGCCAATAGTCCTCGAAGCCAGTACCCGGTGGAAAGTAACTCTTAATATCATTCAAACTGATTACCGAACACGTTTCACTGGCGAACAATTCGTTACGTATACCCTGTACTTTACAGCAAAACTTCAAGTACGATAGATCCCAGCCCTCGAGCTTTTCCGCTTTTAGCTTGAGGTTCTCCGTTTCGCCCTCAAAATAAAATAACGGCACGTACTGTAGACCATCCTTTACCGTGTAAGGTACCACAGACTCTTTATTTATTCGTATGAAACCGCACTTCTCCGCTTTGCGTCCACTCGTTACATTCGGATTGCTACCCGCAGTCAATTTCGTGTAACACACATCGAGAAACGTATAAAACTCCTTGGCGTCCGAGAGACGCACCACTAAATCCTTGCACGTAAATGTGTCCCTCCCGAATTGATTCTCACAGTGCTTAGTGTTAATATCATTGAATAATTTGCTTTCAGCCTCCGTGATATAATAACTCCTTATACACGTGCAGCTGTAAATGTCCGCATGGAGATAGCTCAGGTACTTGTTGAGAAGCTTAGATTCTAGGATTCGTACGGCGCAATACTTTTCGCCGGACCGAAATATATAAGGTATGTGACATTCGTCGAAGCTTGTCCAGCCGAATCGTCCTCTCTGACTGTCGTCGTCGGGTGCTGGTGCTTTCATCTCCATAGTAACCGTCGGCGGTTTTGGAGCGGACGATCCGTCGGTTGGCCGTTTGTTCAGATACCCAAGAATACTGGGAAGATTAGGCTGCTGCGGTACGAGGCATTGCGGCCTCGGTTGTTGCACCGCTGGCATGTTTAACATTTTCGTCTTGTTTGCTTCCACCATTTTGGCAGCCAATTCACGGATTTCCGCTTCATCTGGACGTTCTTGTTTAACAACAACTTTATCGAAACCTGAAAAAGAACAAAATACGTATAAGCTTTGTCTTTGCGGATCATTATATTCAATGCTTAATTTTTACAACTAATTATGCATGCTGCAAGAAGCGGGTGTGACATTTATACTAAGATTGATGAAGTGTGATATTCAATATTTATACTGCGTATAGAAAGCTCGCAATTTTTTTTGTATCATAAGTCAAGAAACTGATTATATTACAAGAGAGTGAGCATTACTAAAAAATTCGACCGTTATATAGACACGTTCTTTATATTTATTATCTTTAGCATTATCCGTTATCTCTTTGACTAATAACGCCAAAAGTAACCCGATTAATAATTATTTTCGAGCACTTTACAAACTTATTACTCTTATTTAAAACTTATTAAATTTATTCACCTCGCGAAAGTATGTTTTCCCATGTATCGTATATATATATATATACACGCATGTATGTATCCTAATTAGGAATAAATCCTAAATAGATTCAATGTGTAGGCGAATATTTTATGCACCAACACATAAATAATTATTTATTCTGTCCAATCAGTATATCAGCTACGTAAAACTGACTTTCAAAACACTAATCACTGGGAGCCTTGCCGAATTAATGAAGCAATGATAACACAAATGAGTTCCAATACTTTCCACGTATATAGTATATATAAACTAAGATATGCGCATTTTTTTAAATCAAGTCAATTTTCAATAAGATTCTAAAATCAAGTTAAGCAAAAAGGAAAAATATATACATACTATATATTCTAATCTACATCTATAAAACGAATTATTTTTTTACCGCACAATTTATTTCATCGAGTATAAATAGTAGAATGAATTTTTCGTCATACAACGCAATTATTGTACATTTAAACCCAGATAGAACAATTTTTTTAATTTCAAAAACAAATCAATCACGCGCACCGTTTGAAGCTTTCTTTTCTTTTATTCAAGCGACGTCGAAACAGAGAATTTTCGTATAGCGTAAATAAAGGAGTAAACGTGTCAAGTCTCGTGTAAAATCAAAAATAAAGTAGGTGGATAGATGATAGGTAAAACGAATCTCCGCGCACGTGACGCGAGCCTTAATTAAAGATCCTCGATCAATTTCTCGCACTCGAGAGATGCCGCACGCTCGATAACACGGCGTGTCTCATGATGGCGCATCGCGTCGCGATATTATCAAAACATAAACCGCAGCGTAAACAATCCTCTCTTCTTCAATAGTAACAAGATTCTTACAACTTGTCAATTACGTAATTCTATCGGAAATTGCGTTTATTCGGACACTCACACTTGGATCGGTCATTCGCTCGAGGAATCTTACGCGACGATTAAGAAATCGACATATATAACTTTGGTGAGTTCAATTTTTCCTACATCTATGAAAAGACGCATCGCGGCGCGTTATGCCAATCATTCTATTTCTATTATCGATGACAAGCATGAAATGTCATTGTCCTATGTCGAAGAAAACATTGGAACGTGACACCGGCTTGAATTCCCGAACCAACGTTCAAGTTTCACGGCTCAAGCGAATAAGACATGTACGAAGGAAAGACATACTGAGTGACATTCGCTCAGGTGCCATCCGCGATGGACTGCTTTTCTCGAGCCATATGGCGTCGGTGCTGCTGTCGGCACTCGCGACCGGTATATCTGTAAAGCCGTTCCTCATCCTCGACGGTCGAGAGGGTTTCCCTTGATTCAGTCGCGAAATCACATCGCAGCTGAACGGTCCAACAGACCACAGTGTTTCTCCTTCGTTGAGGTTATAACATGCAGTACGTCCACCTACGGATACCGCCGACGATATCGCGTGCGACCCATGTTACATGACGAGGAGCAAAACGAGGAAGAAGAGAAGAGGATGAGAACGAGGATGACGTATCAACGGTGGACGTTCAAGTGTATAAAACACACGACGAGAAAGTCGTTTCTCTAAACGATGCTCTCGATTCTTGCAGTTTTCACGCTTTCCCTTGACGATGAGGACGACGTTTCACTTTGTGCGCCGACACGATTATACCAGGTGGCGTGAAAGATTCTCATCATCACTACTACACCACCACCGCCGCCGCCGCCGCCGTCATCGTCGTCGTCGTTGTCATTGTCGTCGTTCTCATTCTCGTCGTCGTCATCGTCGACGTCGTCGCCGCCGCCGCTGCCACCACCATCACCACCACTACCATCGCGTTCGATATGCGTCGAGGGTATAGGTGAAACAGGGGAAGAACGGGGTACGTAGACGGTATCGTTCCTCCGCCGACTACGTACATGCTCCGGGCGTAGCTCCGCGGACTGTTGGAGCTTTCCCAAGGATCACAACGGCGCACTCGAACGAGGACAGCACCATATTTTATCGGGCGCGTTCCCTAGTCTTTGGTGGAAACCTCGATTTCAAGCCGTCCGATAGGCCGCGTCGTAACGTCGAGCTGTCCGCCCGCGGCTCCACGGGGACACTAGGCGCATTTCCGTATAGTCTAGCCCGCGTACTCTACGCGGATTCGTGCCAATCTCTGCACGGACTGTACTGCGCTAGGTATATGTGCTTGCCAGTGTCGTCCTCGACGGATTGCGTTCGAACCGGCCTCGGCATTCTTGAGATATCCGTGAGCGCGCGCGGCTCTTCGGAGATCGGGATTCACGACAGTGACAGCGCGATGTTTCGACGCGAACATGTCATTGCCCGCGACGGTGTCTGAAAATGTGTTTAAATACATTGATGTACTATTTGACAGACACCGTTCAATAAGTACCATTTTTTTTTTTTAATGAAGTGATCCACTGATTCTGCGACATCCTGCTATATTTGCAGAGTACTCGTACGAGACTTTTTCATCTGTTTTTTACTCCGTGTCGCTTGAAGCGTAAGAATAATGCAATTCTCGAAATGAGTGCAATCGGCGATAAACAATGCTCAAAGTCGAGCAATAGATTCGCGTTAAAATAAAATACGATATTATTTTTACATTAGAATATTCTCCAACAGAATAAGGCAGAATCATCAATCTCACGCATGGCCAATTAATTTTAGATAATTAGTTTGCAAACGCGGTGATTACAAGTGTGTGTGTGTGTGTGTGTGTGTGTGTGTGTGTGTGTGTGTGTGTGTGTGACTAATATAAATATAAATGCTCCTTTATTATAATACTCGAATAATATTACCAATATATCTTTTCAGATAAATCTTTCACCTTAATTGAAGAACCTTGTATTATAAATATATATAGAATTGCACATTTCTTTCGATGCTAGAAATATAACTAATTGAGTCTCAACTAATAATATAAGACTCCCTTTCTTTCTCTCTCTCTCTTTCTCTCTCTGTAAACAATCTCTATATTAGGAAAGTAAAATTTAGCTACTTTCTATGATATATGTGTGAGGTAATTTCCTTGCAAATTTGTTTTTCACAAACTAACAAAGAAACTAAACGAATAAAAGGGTAAGACACAACCCTACATTACACATATATCAAATGTCGCTAAAAATAGTTGTCGAATCGCTAAAAAAATTCTGCTGTAAAACTTTCAAGAGAAACCGTCGTGCCTGTTACTATTTTATTGGAAATGATGAATGAAATTCCACCATTTTTAGAATAAACGTATCATCGTGTACACTCGATATATGTTTATTTTAAAACGAGTTCGTTTATTTTACGTGCAAATTTCAATTTTGATCGCAATGTCTCCGATTTTCTAAGGTGCGATAGCGTAATGCTAATAGTTAATACAAATAGTTAGGATAGTTAAAACAAATAGCCGCCTATCTTAGATCGCGCGCATCGTGTAACATGGATCGGTTGCAGGCGCTAGGTACATACCACTCAAAGAGTAGCCAGGACTGGCGCGTAAGATCGCGTAGACGATGTGACAACATCGCACGGTCGATATGCTCTTTCAGGCAAAGTGCCAAGATTGGTAAACGCACGCGGGAGTATATAGCCGTTTCAGGTACCTAACCCTCCCCTCCCTCTAACGCCCGCGCTTGATTCGCTGCTCTCCATCACTCCTGGAACTCATCCGTGGGGTTCACCCTGATGGTGGGGGACCACGAGAGGAGTAGGAGTGTGGAAGTTGCGCAGAACCCAGCCAGACGTTAGCTCCCGCTCACGCCATTGCGCAGCTCTTACGTATATAAAGCCGTCGGCCGCCTATGTACTACATATGTATTATACTTATTATTTTAATCATGATTTACGAGCGCGGCGTTGCCAGTTCTCGCGCTCCGGGCACGCCCATTCCCTCTCTTGTCTCACTTTTCAACTATATACGCGAGTACATAGAAACGCGCGCGCGGAAAAGCAACGTCGCTTGATCGATACTTGAGAAACTTGCAATAAAAAAATGACTATCGTGAATACATTTCTTGGGTGGCCCGCGAGTACATAGATTAAGAATTTTCTTACGCATATTTTATATATCTAAATGTAAAGCCAAATATAATTGGACTTCCTCCCAAGTACATTTTCTCAAATAATTTCCAAAACTTTGCGCACAATATACGATACTCGGGTATATGCGTCTATTATTTGCAACGCATATTATACACTCCTTATATAAAAAATGTAATATAGTATATCGCGGAAATATATATCTGATTAGGTCATATCGTATTGCGACGTTGCGGCCTTGATGGTATCTAGTTTTACCGCGCTGGACGTTGGGCCAGTTGTTGTGGCAACACTGGAAAGTCATAGTGATCTATTTATAGTAGTCCTCTAACATCGCTGTTGCTATGCCAAGCGAAGGCATATTGGTCCAAGAGTGGGGTAAAAATAGGTGGGGATGGATAGAGTGGAGGGAGAAAGAAGGACAAAGTGTAGGTGGAATGAAAAGAGCAAGGGGAAGGGAAATTACTAAAAGAACAATATGGCGGCGGACCGGATATATATATATATATATTCTGCCCCAATCTATCCACATTCTGCTATAACCCGACTTTCTCTATCTCTTTTCCTTCTCCCTTCCCCTCCCTCTCTCATACGCGCTCTGTGGGCCTTTATCTACATCTACGTGATAACAGTTCCTCCTACATTTCCTGTACTTTACGAAAGTATGACCATGACGAATAAATGTTACGCAATGTACAGGAACTCTAGCATGCGCGCGCATAAGAATAGATCGCAATAGAACATTAATAAGGCGCATTTCCTCCTCGCGGCTGATAAATAAAATCAACACGACGAAGGTCATTCGCTCGCCCTCTCCCCTTCTTCCTCGCTCTCTTCCTTCGGGTGGCAGAAAGTAAAATAGAGCGTAAAGAGAGCAGGGAGATCGAAGCCGAACGAGTGAAAAAGATCTGGTGCCGAGTACTGCCATCCTTTACGCAGGCGTAATTTTTTTGCGCGACTCGCGCAAAATTGCATATGGCGCCGTTCACTTGTAGCAGCTGACGAGGTTCGCGCGGTATGTCGTGCGCTCCTATGTAACGCCGAAAGCATGCGTGCGACTTGCGCGGAGGACATAGCGCTACACGAGCGCGCTCGGCAAACCTCGGCTGTCTTCGGCAGCGCTGCCTCTTTGTTACATCACTCTTCGTTTCTTATGTAGTACATAGGGGCAGATACATAATGTATCGCGGGGCCGCACATGTCTCTCCCGACTCTCGCTCGTTGTACATAACGCACACACACATACAAGCGCGCGCAGCGACGAGCAAGCCGGTCGACAGACACACGGCGCGCACTTGCGGCAAGTAAGCTTGGCTCCACGTTACACGATGCGCTCGCAAACAGGCTGCGCGTTCGACGTATCGCATTATTACATACATAGAAGCATGGCGCGGCAAAGCGATTCAACGGCAAATATACGACGCATAGAAAATTTATACTTTCGTAATAATGTCGTGAAAAACGTACCGCGAGACGGTTTCGAGCGAAATTTAGGAGCGCGATGACATCCCTCAATTTATGCGGCAAATATCCAAAGAATATTTCAAGACGATGTGTCATATATTTTATACTGTGAAAATTTCGTGTGTTGTGTGATGAGTGTATATACAACATCGTATTAATACAAATGTTACACAACTTTGTAATATCGCAACTAGACATTTCAGAGAATACACATTTGTTAGTTTGATTACTCGAGAAATTTTCCGTGACTTTGGGCGTTCTGGCAATATTTTAAGTAACTGAATGTAGGAAATTTTTATATCTATACAAAATCACGAATGGATATCTAAATATTGAAAGCGCTAAGCGATTCATATACTAATATACTATTGACTGTAATACTGTGCATAGAAAATCACGAATCAAATTTTAGTTAATTAAATGACAAACCGATGTATTTTTTTTACGAGTATAAACTCTCATTTTTGTAATATATATGATGTATTAATTTTATATTTAAAAGATGTCTCACATAAATTGTGCAGACGTAATAAACAGACAGAGCGAGAATGAAAAATTATAAACATCGTTTATACTGGTAATATTTGTTTATGTACATCTAATATTTGTACCGGGCAATTCTCTAAAATTAATGTGCATGTCAAGTTAAATCACTAATAAAAAATGTTTCAAAACATTAATTAAATACACAATTACTAACTAAACAAATATCTTGACTTTTGTATGTCAAAGTTTTTTAATAGTTTACTTTTATCAGCATCTTACATTAAAAGAGAAATGTCCACATTGTATTCTAAAATCGGACGCACAGACGATTAACTCGTGTCACCGGCACGTTTCGCCGGCTCACGAGACGCGTCTCGTGGAAGGAATACACATTCGCATTAGCGAGAATAGTACGATTAGTTCGTGGAAGGGGCTCGCGATGTGTGCGCACCGCGAAGAGGACAGTGAGATCGTGCGAGAGAGGAGAGAAAACGAAAGAAGGGAATAAAGATACACGCGTTCGTTACGGCGGATTCCGCCGCTACAAGCGATTCCGTCGCGGTGATGCCGCTAAACGTTCGCGAGGATATCGGAGTTGTGCCCGCTGGCGCGGTCATTCCCGCTAACGCCGCCGTCGTCGCCGTCGCCGTCGTCGCCATCACCACTGGGGACACTATAGCCACTACACCTAACCTACCACTGCCGCTAACCTCAAAATTTTACCTTTCTTAATGTGAGCCTCGACGATCTCTACTTCCTCATCGACTCTCTTGTCGCCCATCTTCTTCTTCTCGTTAAGCTGGATATCTATACACATAATTCCACGTCGCCGTGTGGAACTTTCTTCGCGACACGGCCACGATATCACCGCGCGCCCGTGACATTTACATCAAGTTGCTTGAGAGCCAACGGGCGCGAGCGCGGACGCGCGCGAAAATTTGTACACGCGTGATGCGGGCACCGGAAGGAAGACTCACGACCGACGCGGTAAAGTCACGGCGCACTCTCAGAGAGCGCTCTCGACGTAGAATACACTCGTTGCGTTACGTTCTCGATGCGTTGCACCCGTACATAGGTGAGGAGCAATGAGACATGTAGAGAGAAGGAGAACGCCGAAACACGTCGAGGCACGTCGAGGCACGTCGAGGCACGTCGAGATACGTCGAAACAAGTCCAAATCAGCTGCGCGATTACATTGCCGATTGACGCGCGTACCGGTACATTATATATCGCGACACACACGAAATATATCTCATTCGTTGGCGATTTTCTGCCGTTCTGCGTTTTCTACTGTTTTACTAAGTAACCGGGACTGGGTTTCAGACACTTTCAGATCAGATTTGAATGTCGTACAC